ACTTTGTTTGCACTTTGTATTATATTGGATTTAATTTGTTGCTATTGAGTATGTGTAGAATTTGTTGTTACGATTGTTTTATTAGATAGTTCTTTAGCAAATTTATCTCAATTTTCTTTTTGAGTCATATTAAGATTGTATCTATACTGAGTTTTTTGTTTATATGTGTTTGAAGGGAGTGGTTTGCAAAATGTGTCAAGTAATATTGCTCTGGTACAGTGGTGGTCTGTTGCAATCTCTTCTTCGGTGTCTATAATGTCTGCATTAATTAGTATATCAGCTGTTTTGGGTGATAATTAGATTTGATCTATTCTTGATTTGGATTCATTTTGAGACCATGTGAATTGTAATGTGTTTGTTGTGTCTTCTGTATCTGTTTCTAGTTTAATGTTTTGTATTGTGCGAAATGTGTCTATGTAGTTTTTGTTCGTAAGATATTTGAGTAAGGGACCTTCTATTTTGTTTGATCTATATTTAGATGTTGCAGATCTGTCTATAGTTGAATCTTTTACACTGTTAAAATCTTCTAATATTATGATTCTATTAGTGTCAGTCGAGTTAAACCTTTTTGTTATTATCTTGATCCATTCCATCAGTCTTGTACGCAATACTAAGTTAGCTAGTCTGCTTACTGATAGAAAGTATACTGTTATGATTTTTACTTTAATTTTTCATTTAAATACTATGTCTAATGTTATCACATGGTTTTCAAATGTCTGGATTGAAGTTATGTGTTTGTTAAGTTGTTTTTTCACCATAATTTCCACTCCATGATTGTGTATTTCTGAACCTTTTGTCCAGTAGTATGTGAATTCTTTGTTATTAGGATTTTGGTTAAGGTTACTTTTTAGTATGTGGAATTGGTTGTGTGGAGAATGTCAAGTTTCTATTAGGCCTAATATATCAAATTGGTAATTATTTACAAAATTTATTATTTGTTGTTGAGTCATTATATTGTTTAAGTCTTGTACATTTAGTATTCCAATTTGTATAAATTTTTGAAGGCTGGAATTTTGTATTTTTGACAGTTCTGATTCCAAAGTGAGAGAATTATCATTTGTTTCTGAAATGTCTGTGTTGGAATCTAATATATCAGTTATGGAAGGGGGTGTATTGATTTGATTGTTGAATATGAATTCTTCTATTTCTTGATTCTGTTTAATGAAGTCATTGACTTCATTTTCTTCTATTGAGTTGTTTGTAATTTCAGAAAAAAGAGAGGTAAGAGAAAAGTCTTGATCAGAATTTCAAATATTGTTGTTTTCATTATCATCGTTGTTATAATTGTGGTCCATTATTGAGATTTGTGGTAGTGTATAGGTTGGACCATAACCTCCTTTATTAGATTCTTTATATTTTCGTGATAATTTATTGGTGATATAATGATTTAATATCTTAATTCTGTTTTTATTTTTTGTATTTTTGTTAAGTGAATGACTGTGATCAGATTTTTGATTATTGTTTATTTTTTGTTTGTATTTTGTATTTTGCTTATAAAGCAAATTGGTTTTCAGAAAAAACTATTGTATATTTATTAGTATCTTGTTGGATACGAAAAAACTCTTTTGGGAGTTTTGCAAAGTTATAGTATTGGTGAAGTGTTTTGACAGTTTCGTTAATTTTTATTTTATCTGTTATTGGGAGTATTACTGTTTGTTTTGTTTTGTTTGCTAGGTCAATAATTACTTTATCTACTGAGGGGAGTTCATCTTGTGAAGTATATTTGGCTAAAATCCAATCTTCTGGAAGTCTGTCGAACTTGTAATGCAACCTTAATTGTTTGACTGTTTGTATTATTTGAGTTCTGTTAATTGGTAAATTGATATTAGCTATTCTATTAGCTGTATTCATGTCTGTAAGAAGAGAAGGTCTGTTGTCTGCTTCTAAATCGATCTATTCTTTAGAGAGTTTATTAATTGTAAATGTATATTTTTTTCTCAGTGTTTTTGTTAAGAGTTTTATATCTTCTTTTCTGGTAATTGGCAAAGTGATATTCTTTGGGAGGTCTGATATGTCTACGTGTTTAGGGTGTTCTGGTAATTTAATGTGGTTGAAGAAATACGAGTCTGGTAGTTTACCATTGATCATATATTCTTTTCTCAATGCGTTTAGAATGTCGTAAAATGAGATACCATCTGAAACTGTTGCTTTGTTCCATGGAAGATATTTTTTGATGTCTTCTTTCACGTTGTTGTAGTCTTGTGATAGTTCTGGCTTTTTCTTTATCTATATATAGTTTTTCAGAAGTTTTGTAGGTAAGGTATAAAATTTCCATAATTCTTGTTTATATTCGTATATTTCTCTCATTTGCTCTTTAGTTTGTATTGGCAGTTTTGTTTTACATAAGAGTTTATCTCTTAGGTTGATGAAGTTTTGTGGTAATGGTTCTTTTGGGCAATAGTATTTGATTGGCAATAAGCCAAAATCATACCATTTGTGTAATACTTGTAGTACTTCTGTTAAGTATGTGTTGTTTTGAAGTGGAAAGTTTACTTTTGGAAGTTCTGCTATTGTTTTGTTATGCAAGTTGTTAGGGTCTTCGGGTAATGGATATTTGGTTGATTTGAATTTATTGAAGTGTTTCACACATTGTCTAGTGAATTGGTTATAATTAAATTCTATTCTATTAGGCCTTTTGTATGGCAGTAGAATGAAATTAATTGTGTATATTATGAGTTGAGCCATGTTTCTTCTTCCTCAATTTTTTGAGAAATCTATACTGTGTAGGTAGCACCACATAATTTTCATTCTCAAGTGATCTCATAATTCACTGTGAAGTTGAAGGAAGAGAGTTTCTTTGTTATTAATATTGTTTTTGTTTTTGAATTGTGAAATTTCTTTTTCTAATAGTGTCAACCATTTTTTTATATGGTCTGAAGCATCTTCTAAGTTATTCAGTGGTTTATGAAATATAGTTTTGTCTTTGTTATATTGCGAAAGAAAACCCTTAATACTTCTTTTTCAAAGGGAACCATACTTCTTTCAGAGTTTGTTAAGTAGTTTAACATTAAAGCATTTCTGGGTTTAGTCAAATATTGTGTATAGTTGTTTATTGTAATTGGTGCTAAATTGTGAATAGAAGTTTCTAGGTCATTTTCTGAATTTAGATTTTGTGTATCATTAATGATCATATCTGAAAATCTTTGTCTTGTTATTGATATTGTATTTGTGTTGGTTACATGTTTATTTTGTGTTTCTTGCATATTAAACCAGTTTTGTGTTTCATAGTCGTGTTGCGTAACTGGTGTTCTTTGTTTGTCAGCTGAATTATTTGCTTGCTGATCATTTTTAGGAGGTAAGAGAGTTACGCATTTTTTTGGAGATGCAGGAGAATTTTCGCGAGAAGAATTAGAAGAAGTGTTTAGTGAAGTGTAGTTTGTATTTTCTAAAATGACTGTTTCTTCTATTGAGTTGATGGCATTGATATATAGTTCTTGGTCTTCCTAATTAAGTATTATGTTGTCCATGCTATTTGTTGCTTGCTTTATTCTTTTTTGTTGTAAGTAAGAAGGAATAGTGTCAAAGGTTTGAGCCATGGCTGTAAATTTTCTTGTGTTATAAGAGATATTAATATTGTTAAAGGTAACCAGCACTGCGTATTCAGGATTATCAATAATGTTTTCTGTGAGAGTAGTTTGTTTTTGTTGTTTATAAGTTGTAAAAAGGAAAAAAGTAGAAAATCTTAGGACTCTTGGAAGTGTAATAGGTTTTCTGAAAATGTCATGTTTTGTAACTTTGTTTGTTTTTTGGTCTTTCAAGAAGAGGACTGTTAAAGCATTTGATGTCGAAGTTTTTCCTTCAGGAAGTTGCACTCTTAAAAAAATTTTTTCGTCTCTTGCGTCCATAAGATTTTTGAATTTTTGAATTTTTTATTTTTTTTTCAATTTTGTCAAATGCAGGAGAGAGTTTTTTTTGGTACTGTTTCATTAATAAATAATGAACTTTATTATGTAGCAATATTTGATAATTATTTTCAGATTTTTTAAGAAATTCAATGTCAATCATTTTATTGTTATTACTATTTTCGAAATTGTCTTGATAACCAAAATAAATATTTTGATCAGTGACTACAGAAGTCAATCACATGATAATACATGTGATTAATTTTGGCCAATAAAATTTATAGATCTATTTACTGTTGTAATCAATAAAATCAATAAAAAAATATTTTTGTTTTGCATATATACGCATTTGACTTATTCTTTCAAGTATATTTCCATCAAAGTAGCTTTTATATTATTACATATCTCCAATTTACAAAATAAGAACCTTTTACAATTGTCGAAAATATTTGTACTACTTTGTGGAGTTATCACAGAAGAAGTGCAATTGTGATTTAACAAAAAAACCTTCATATACAGATAAAATATTGACCGATCCAAGAAAGGATACCAAGTTTATAACAGATATGTCACAAGTACAATTCACTTGGCACAACTTACATTTCTTCAGGAAGCAAATAAAAAATTTGAATATGAAAATGATTTCAATGTAGATTTAGATATAAGTTTATATGTAACATACAACTTAAAATATGAGCAATCCAAAAAAATGAAAATTATTCAAACAGATATTCAACATACATCTCAAAAAGATAATAATGATAATAATGAAATATCATTTCCTACAACAATTAATATACAGACAATAATTAAAAAGAATAATGAAAATTTATCAGGAAAATAGATAAAAATCAATTCAATAGATTATATGACATTTTGTAATTATTTAACAAATTCTATATAAAAAACTTTGAAAGGTTTATCTATTAACAAAAATAGTTTTATTATTACATATAAAATAAATGGTTGTAAACAAGCAATGACTTTAGATGATGATAATGACTTTATAGTATTTATTCAAAAATACAAAGATATATCAGAATCAAAAAATATGGTATTATATATCAATATAAATAATCAATTAAAATGAAATAATGATTTGAATCATGATAAACAAAAATCAGTAAGTAATAATTTTATTTTAAAAAAATATTATTATTATAAAATAAAAACTATGATATTTAAAATATACTTAAAATATATTTAAAATATATTTAAAATATTTTTTATTAAATATTTTTTAAGTACATAAAAAACTATTTAAAATATTATTATTTTATAATTAAAATATATTTAAAATAAATTTAAAAAATATTTATTTAGATAATGAGTAAGTATGTTTTAGGTATATACTTAAATATATAATTTTAAATATGTTTTAATAATATTTTAAATATATTTTAAATATATTTTAATTATAAAATAATAATATTTTAAGTAGATTATCATAAATATAATTAAGTATATTTTAAATATATTTTAAATATATTTTAATAATATTTTAATTATATTTTAAATATTTTTTAAATATGCATATTTCTTATAAGGAAAGAATCTTCTACTGATATATGTTATAATAATTGAGTTTTCTTTTATTTTTCTCTTCATTGGCATGTGTCACAGGATTGTATATAAGATTTAATAGTGTTATATATTTGTAACCAATAATATATATTTCTAATTTTCTTAAAAACTGTATCTACACTTATGTGTTCTTCTAAAAGGTGATTATACATTATGAAGATAACAGGTTCTATTTCATGAAGTTTTAATACTTTCAATAGTTTGTTTTATGTTTTGTATCTATGATCTTTTTTGTATAAAATAATATTTTGTATTTGATAAAATCTACTTTTTAATTCTAATCTTTTCTTGTTTTTGTTATCAATTGTAGGTAAGAATTATTGAGTCAAATAATTTAAAAGGTATTGATATTCTTGGAAATCCATATTTGAAAAAGTAAAAGTGTTAAATATTAAAAGGTTTAAAAATTCAAATGCCAGGATACCAACTACCTGAACTGGATTATATTTTGACTTGTCAGATTACTATTATAAATTTTAATAATCTAATTATTAAATTTCATACATTTGGAATAAAGAATCAGCATTGTTATGTTTCTTTTCAGATCTATATAAAATAGTATAATTATATAATTCTAATCTGAGAATTTAGCAAGTACACTTTCCTCTTAATTCTGTTGTCCTTAACTATTGCAAAGCTGAATAGTCAGTAACAATATAAAAATGGGCTGTTCCAAAATATTGACAGAAGTATTCAATGGTCCAGACAATAGTTAAACATTCTAATTCATTTGTAGAATAGTTTTGCTTAGCTTATTCAAGCTTCTACTGGCATAAGTAATTGCATATTCAATTTTGTTATCTTTTTATACTAGTACTGCACTCAGTTCTAATCTGGAAGCATTAGTGTGTAAGTAAAAAGGTTGATTAAAATCAGGGTGTCTTAGTATAGGAGCAGAAATTAATTTTGCTTTTGAGGTTTTAAAAGACTGTTGTTATACTTCGGTCCATTCAAATTTAATATCTTTTTGTAATACTTTATTAAGTAATTTAGCAATTTTGAAGAAGTTTTTAATAAATTTTTGATAATAAGAGGTTAATCTTAAGAATCCTTTTAGTTAACATAGATTGGTCAGTTTATTAAAGTTTTTAACTTTAATAATTTTGTCTTTATAGGTAGAATACCTTTGTCAGAAATAACATGATCCAGGAATTTGATTTCAGATAAAAAGAATTGACATTTGTCTATGTTGATTTTTAAATTTGCTTTTTGTAATGTGTCAAAAATAGTAGCAAGGTGATCTGATTTTTTTTCAATTGTTTTAGTAGGCAAATTTACCCACTAAAAATATGATTTAAGAGATAGAGTTATTCCATACTATGTTCAAAAAAAATTTTCCAATACATATCACATTCTGTCATTGTTTTTTCAATATACACATAAAAATTTTTTTATGTACAATACAAAGAATACCCATCTATATACAGTATACCTATTTGAAATATTATTTATTATGATATCTTGTAATCTAAGTGTATTAAAAACATGATAAAATGATTTTGAATTTATTCTTCCATAAAATCTTCCTTAAGAATATTGATATATTCATTTTAAAGCCATTTTAGCCCTTCTTCTGTTGTTGGACTATCATGTTCATTTTTTGTCATTAACTTTTTTGAATAGATTTTTAATTTATCAAATTCTTCAACTTTTACAGAAGCTGTCTGAATTAGATATCTGACAGATCAAATATTAACACTCTTATTGTGATGGTTTCAAAAATTTTGGGTGCATGATTCTCTTTAGCTAAGTGTGCACCAGAAGTCACTGAAGTAGTATAACATGCATCATCAAAGTTGATGATAAACCACTTATCCCGATCAATAAATCTTAGTACATTTTCTCAACAAATATTCTGATGCATGATCTCTGTTTTGTGAAGAGCCTGGAAATGTATATTCTCGTTATAAAAAAATTTAAAATACCTAACTTCCAAAATAAATAACAATAGATACCTTGAGGGCAGTCAAAACTATACATGTTCCCAAAATTGATTTTGGATTTTTGAGATATTTTGACTTTTTGAGATTTATGCAGAATCTATTTTATATATGGAAGTAAAAAAAGTACCTAGTTATATGTATCTTTAATCAAAGAATAAATCTGTGTGGTCAAAAAATTTCGGGTTTTAAGTAAAATAATTTTGTCTTCTATGAAAATTATTTTGACTTTTTTTCCCGAAATAATTTTGTGTGCAAGTATAGTCAAAACACAGCGTAATGCTTTAACTAGCTATTTTTCTAATTGAGGTTTCCCTTTGGTGAAAGGATCACAAAGGATATTTCTCCATTCATATTTACATGTTCCAGACTATATCAAGGGGTAACGTTTTAAACATTTTTTTGTATCAATTCAACTACCTTGCCATTTGAGTGGTGAAACGGTTTGACGCAGTAGAGACAATAATCGGCCAATATTGATTCCAATAATAAAAGCTTGCATGCATCCTTGCACTGTATTCAGGTTACAAGTGAACAAATCCTTTCGCAAAACTTGATTTCCTTCAAAATACAGATAACAGTATGTCACTGTGGTGTCGCGTGCATAATATCCAAATATGTATGGGCATTTTCCTTATGTCTATATTAATTTTTCAGTTAGTTCTTCAGCCAGATCATGTTCAGTTTCAAGGTTCCCTTTCCTCTCCTCTTGCAAGACAGGCATCAGATATCAAAAAGGAAAGAGTAGGTCATAATTTTCTTGTGGAGGTGTGTAAAGATGTATTTCGGTTATGTTTACTCTCCGGAGATTTGATTTTAAGAGGCATGACAACAATCATATCCCAAAGTGCGTGAAGCGAATCTCCGGTAGTGTTTGTATCGGGCGGGCAAGCCATGTATGTAATGAATTCGTTCCATACTTGGTGAGAAGCCTTGTACGAACTCACAAAGATTTTTTTTAAAATTTCGGGAGAGATTTCTAGTCAAAAGTAGCTGAACAGGGGGTTGTTGAAGATAGGTCAATAATTCCTCACAGGGTGGAATGAATGGGGGTTTCGTTTAAGCATATCACGAGTTGAAATATACAGGGAATCATCTATGTTGGTTAGGCATACTGTATATACTCAAAGATATGTAGATATACTTTCTAACTTACCATCATGGAGCGTCTTTAAAGGATCGAGAGCAATGAAGAACCAAATTAGCCAATGTTTGAGAGTTTAATTAATCCATTTAGCGATAAGAATTATCAGGTCAGCAACGTAATAAATAAGACAATCCTTGATTTCCTAACTCAGGTTGCTCGATTATGACGTGAATATGCTCTTCGATAGTTTGTTCAAAGTATTTACTAACTTCTTTCGTAGGAAGAAGTTCTTCCTTGCTTTTGGGTTGAAGAACGCTCAACAAATCTTCGCTATCATCAGATATCTCTACCTTCCATAAGTTAAGTTTATCAGCATCAATGCGTTCAAAATCAATAGGCTTCTTCGCTTTGATTGCTTCCTTGAGATCACCAATGGTATCGTCCCTGTTTATATTGACTGAAAAAGGAACTGTAGTAGGGTTTCTATTAATAATGCAGAAAAGCTTGATTGACATTGCGAGTATGCAAGATTGTTGAAGTAAATGAATTTTTTTCTCGGCCATGTTCCTATCAAAGATTTCTTTAAAGCAAGTCCAAATGATTAAAATAATGTTTATATATTCAATCAGATCCTGAATCATAAAAACACTAATTTATTTTTTCGTGAAAATGCAATTAAGGTATGAATATTTCAGTTGTGACAGTGCATTTCAATGAATCAGCCTCTGGATTTGCAAACCTATGACTACTCTTTTGTACAGATTTAGCTTTCTGAGAATGTTATTAGCATCGCAAATATTGTCTTCATTTTTAACACTGCATGTATAACTGATAGCCATTTTTATTCTATCCAGAATATCAATAACAAATGAAACCAGATTATAATTAATGTGTTAGAATAGATAGTTTAGATAAATGACAAACTTAGTGTAGGCAATAGTATAGAACAATAGATAGGTTTTTGATTCTTTTCGATTTTTATTACTTATTAATATGACATCCGAGATTGATATATCGCGACAACAATTTGCTGAAATTAGAAAGGAAAATGCTTTGCTCATGGGTGAGAATGCTTTACTCTTGGCTGAGAATGCACAGGTCGAAAAACAATATTTCGCCTGACTTGTCCCGATGTTCGGACATCTTTCAAGTACTCGATGGGTGTCCGATAGGTGCCTGATAGGTGACGGATATGGTTGTAATAAAAAATTATAATTAAATCGTCAAAATTCTACTAAATAAACTCTTAGATAATAAATATTTACAGTTTCTGTAAAAATTTTAGTACTATTTAATTAAAACTGAGAATTATTGATGTTTTAATTCGTATTGCCGTTCAGAATTTGATCGTTAATAATTCTCTCAATTTTAATTAAATAGGCCTAAAAGTTTTACAAACGATGTAGATTTTTATTATCTACAAGTTTACTCAGTAGCGTTTTGATGATTAAGTTATATAATTATATGTACTGTAGCTACGATTACAAATTATTTTTTGATTTTATATTACAGTGAAAATAATGTGATTGTAGTCACATATAAATGTTTTTAATAATATAATTTAATCATCTTGTAAATTAAATATATTAATGAAGCATCTTAACATGTCCCGATTATTAAAAAAAAAATAATTTAATAGTCAAAATGTTACTAACATCAGTAATTATATTAATGCAGAGGTTTTTGAAATTTGGAAAATCAAAAATCTTCAAAGTTCAATATTACATTACATAGATTTATCATTTTCAAACAATTTCGAATTTAATTATTTTATTGTGTTTTTTACGTTTAGACAAAATTTAACTTCGAGACCTCTCTTTTTTTTAAGATCTTTATAAAAGTAAAGGTAAATATAAATTTTTGATAACAAAAATGTATGTATTTTTGTGAGAGAGAAAATAATTTCTAAGTTACAAATGTTGTTAATTAGACAATTTTCATGTAAAATACAAAAAATGATTTTTTTTAATAATAAAAATAAATTTTTTAATACATAATGAAATTTTATAGTATACTTTGTAAGCTAAATATTTTTTTATTTTATTTTAATTATGTATTAGAATCATATTGTTTTATTTTATTAATATAAAGAGATAAGTAGGTTAAAAGGATAATTTATTTAGTTTATTTTTTATTTTAAAGATAATAGATAAGTGGGTTAAAAGGATTGTTTTTATTTTTATTTTATTATTATGCCATTCGTCCCTAACCTTCTTTTTAGTTCAATTATTGGAAATAGGTAATAAAATTGTTAATACTAAATTTGTATTATCATCTGGAGAAGCCATTGATAATTCGCGTTATATGATCAACTTATATGATTGAGCATCCTCCCACATATGGACACCCAAAGGTGGGTAAAGGGGACCCAATGTTCATACATGATATTGTAAATATTTTGAATAAATCTAGCCTCAGATGTCAAATGAGCTTATTATATCATTTATTATATAACAATAAAAAAATTACACTAAATTTTTTTTTTTAATTAAAATATGGAAATTAACTATATAGCAATACTTTTAATAATTTTAATCAAAAAAAAAAAAATCATTATACATTTTTTTATATTAATTATATCGTATTATACTAATTATATTGTAATAATTCAAACAAACAAACAAACAAAAAAAAAGAGAAAGATATATATATTAAAATTCCGGATCAAGAATTTTTATATTACGGAGCATCTCATTAGATTGTGTAATATAATCAACAGGACTTATATTTGCTACAGTATATCGAATTCTAGCAATATCCTATATGAATGTAAAGAAAGAAAGAGAATAAATCATTATTTTCAAATAAAAAAAAAACAAATAAAGACAAAAAATATATATATATAAAAAAAAAAAAATAGAAAATGATTGAATACATTATAATTTTCAAGTTTGGCACGGCAACTGAATATATAAGGTTTAAAATAAGCTTTTTCAAAAATGGCATCATGAGCTGAATCATCATCGTCCTACATATATTTTACAATATTATCAAAAAAAAAAAAAATCAATAAATAAAATATTTTCCCACTAAAATTAATTAATTAATTAAATAATAATTATAATTATTTTATTACCTTAAGTTGACGTAAATCATTAGCAGAAATTCCTAAAATTATTTCAGCCGCATCATTGAAACATTGAAACCACGCGGAATCGGTATGATCAGCCACACTAATTGATGCGATATATCGATAATTGGGTTCAGAAAATGTTCGACCACATTTTTCACAATACCAACCATCATCTCTATTTTCATCGGAAACTTTTTTATTACATCCAGCATTAGCACAAGCTGGATAATAATTATTTTCTTTCTTAATAAAAATAACATATGCAACGGTATTAAAATAATCAGCCTAAAAAAAAAAAAAATAAAAAAAAAAAAAAAAAAAAAACTGTCAAAATTAATTTAGAACAAATTTCAAAAATTAAAAAGAAAATAATTATAATATATACTTTTTCACCACTGCCAAGATTCTCAGATTTGACTTGTTCAATGGTTTTCCTATTTTCAATTTTGTCTTGCATTGCAATATATCCTCCTCCCATACCAGAAAAGGAATTAAATTCTTGATTTTCATCTATTGTTCGATACCTAAATAAATATAATAAAAAGTATTATATATATTTAATGAAATATTAAATCGAATAAAGCATAATCAATTCTTTTTTTTTAATACCAATCACGTAATTCCTTAGCCTCATGAATATCGGGATTATATAACAATGTGGTCCCACTGAAAACTGAAAGAGTACGTCCTGTAATTTAATATATGTAAGAATAAATATATAATATAATATAATTAAATTTAATTTCATTTCATTCATTTCATTTTAATTTCACATTTTTAAATTTTTTAAATTTTTATTTCACACATACCTTGATAATCTCCTACTTTCACACTTTTACATACAACAACCGGATTATCGAACATTGCAAAATTTTCAGCCTGTTGTCCCCATAAAGTCATTTTAACCATATATCCACTTTGATCAACAATAGTGAGTTCACGTTTGTTGATCTACAAATATAAAAAATATAAAGAAATGAATATAATTAACATTTTACTAGAATAATATAATGGTAATAAAAATTATCATTATTGTTATTATTATTATTATTATTATTAAATAATACAATACAAGTTTCTGTGTAGCTTTAGTTGTTATTGATTGCAAATCATCTGCGTTTTTGACAATTCCTATAATATCTGTTTTGAATTAAATAATTAAATAAATTTAGTTAAATAAATAGAATTAATTATTAATTTATATTTGAATTATAATCGAAAATTTTTATACTTTACCTATAGTGCTGTCTTTTTCATGTTTCAATAAATCGGAAATTGGAACGAAATCAAATTTTAACATATTCATAGGATCATCATCTGGACACTAAAATATTAAATATACAAGTACATTAGGAATATACAGTACAATTGACATAGACATATAAAGTAAATAATAAACATATACAAATACATACCGGAATAATCTGAGTTCCACTCTCTAAAGTGATTTCATAATCGTTCTTCACTGATGAATATTGCTTTTTGGCAACATTTATTCTTGCTTTGGATATGTAAAATAACTTTTGAAAAGAAAAGGAGAAAATGATGGAAAAAAATTAATTCTATAATTAATGAAAATTTCTTGAATTCCCAATAATTAATTTTCCAAACATACCTTTCCCTCTTGTAATACATTAAAGAAGTCGTCAACTTGTTGGTTAAATGCCGTGGCTCTGATTTCTCCCTAATGAAATAAATTTTAGTTTATAAATTAGGTTTAGATAATCAATCATTTTAAATAATTATAAAAATAATTATAAAAATAATTATAAAAATAATTATAAAAATAATTTAAAATAATTATAAAAATAATTATAAAAATAATTATAAAATAATTATAAAAATAATTATAAAAATAATTATAAAATAATTATAAAAAAAATTATAAAATAATTATAAATTATTATCATAAACTTACACTATTATCCAACAAAGTAACATTAAACAGTTTCCCTTCTCCACGCTTGTTTTGCCAACGCTTAATTTCTGATTTCGAACCTACGAATCCTTTAATTTTCCACCTAAGAAAAAAAATATAATATAATTATAAAATTTACGATAAATAATTATAATAAATTCCAAGATAAAATTAATTGATAATTACTTGTTATGGTATGGACTGAGATAACTAATTGGGAAAACTCCCTCATCAGCATCATTTACTTGAGACGTGATTGGTCGTATGCTAGGTTGTTGAGGAGGCCTAACTTGAGGTGCTTGAGGTCTTTGTAAAGATTGTGGTGGCATAATTTGAGGTGGATTATTGGATCTTTGTGACATGACTGGTCCTCGTTGTTGTTGTTGTTGTTGTTGCTGATGTTGATATTGTTGTGTTTGTTGTTGTTGTTGATAATCTCTTTGTTGACGTTGTTGTAGTGATTGTTGTAATGGTGGTTGTTGTTGTTGTTGTGATTGTTGTATTTGAGGTCTTTGTAGAGAGTTTGCTTTTGATTCTTTTGATTCCCGTTCGTCAGTAGGCTTGGGATTTCCAATTATTGGTCGTACACTGCTGACTAAATCACACGACTGAACAACAAGAACTCTGGAAAAAAAAAGATATCAGTCAAACGATATTAAAATCATTATATCATCTTTATTTATTAATGTTATTAATGATTAATTTATTATTATTATTATTTTTGATGATGATGAATAATAATAAATTACTAACTTAGGTGATCCGGAACTATGAGTTGCAGTCAAACTATAACTATTCAGACGGACCAGTTGACCTCTTTCCAACAGTCCTTTACCTAAAGTCTTCATAATTGTCGAAGTGACCATTGCTATATAAAAATATATATATATAAATTATTTCTTGATAAATTATTTTTTTATTTTTAAATATATTTAATATATTTTATCATTTAAATTTATTTTAATAATACCTTGTACATATTCACGACCATCTGAAAACGCCACTCTATTGTAATAAGACAATGATTAAAAAACATATACATATATCAAGACGCGTGAACAAATAATATAAAACACTGATTTGAAATAGCCAGAAGTAATAGCAATAATAACTTTTTTTATTATTTCTTTTAAAAAAATTTTTTTTTTTTGTGATCTACTAACCTATATCTTTGTTGTGAGGCGTTTTGGGTGTTTTGGTTAGTTAAACCAACTTTCATTACTTGAAGAATTGGTTTTTCTGGAAGAGGTTTTTCGTTTTCAAATGCAGCGAACATAGGTTTAAGAATACCAGTACTGACTTGTTCGACCATTTTTTAATTTTTTTTAATGACCCGTTATTACTATTATTTTGTTTTTCTTGAAAAAGAAGGGAGGGAATATATTTTGTTACGCGCAGACATTGATCTAGTCGCGATTATCGCCTGTGTTCATGTGATATGCCTAAGCCCCTTTTCCTTGACATATCACCTCATGTCATTCTCTCATTTTCGCCCACACGTGATTGGTTCGTTTGAACATTGGCATACAGATTGTTCAGGACAAGTTCTACTTCAAATAATATGGATCTTTAAATATAAATTCGAAATGTATATATTCATGAATATGAATTGAGATTACAGATTATAAAAAAAAAAAAAGATATATACGCATATGCAGGTTAGTTTATGCTTTTACATTTACTAATTTTTATTGTATTTTGAAAAGTATCCCAACCATTGCCCTTCTATATTTTCTCTTTTGTGCATAAAGGACAGGGTTACTGAACAATAATTTAGAAATTCATTACTGTACTTCAAAGATAAATAAGGAAAGCACTTTAATATCATTTTGATAACGTGTGCTCGCTTCTCTTTAGAATCTTTGGGTAATGTAGAAATCTGAGGTCGGGATTTGGTTACGTGAGACGTAAATGATCTTACCTGAGGTATAGGTGAAGCTTTCTTTTCAAATAAGGATAATGCGCTTACTTGAGTTTACTTCTCTGTTATTTATGGAGCTTAAGTTCTGATATTCATTATTTCACAAGAATAGCCATTAATCGGTATGAATTGTGTTATCAAAAGGGTTAAATGTTATCATGTTCTTCGATTTATTTATAGATCAGATATTAATTTAGTAAAGAAATTAGTCATGAGATATAAAATGAATCAAGTCAAGTTAATTGTTAATAATAAATTTACAGTGTCACTGTGAACTCAACAAAATTAAGTTCCCGATAAATTATAAAGTTACGAGTTAATTAAAATGCATCGTTCTCTATATATATATATTTGTCATCGTGAGAACCAATTTTCCACAAAATACAATCTTTCTTCTCTCCCCTTGTTTTTCTCTACATACATCCAGTGTGTTCATTTTTTTTTTTGTTGGCTGGCGTTTCCGTATTCTGCAACTTATGTCGACCCCTGCTTGTTTCCACCACATTTTTTAGGCTTTCCCTTTTGCTCTTCTCATCTCGATCTAGTTATTATACTTGGCATCTTACAGTTGTGAATTATAATATTTGATAAACTAAAAATTAAACTTCACGTGTTATTATACACTTTTTATTCAGCCATTTCGCCTTGTTCAGTAAACAATCTTACTTATCCTCTATCCAATGAGTAAGTATAATGTATAATGTTATCTGATTCATTGTTGTTAATAGAAGATTACTCATCTCTTTAGAATGTCTGAATCCTCTCTATCCATGGGCACTTAAAACTATTTTTCTCAAACTTTTGAAAAAGAAATTACGATATACGAAAAGCAACTTGATGGTGTGAAAAAAAACTTGACCCGGTTCTATTAATTTTCGTAAATCAAGTATGGGGTCAACCAACATGGCTGGCCTGCCTATTATGCAGTTATGGATGCCTTTGCAACCAACGGTCTTCAAAATAAACGCAGAGACAAAAACTCTCACTTTGAGGTAATGATTTGGGCTAAAGGGTTTAGGCAGAACAGGCTAAGTTAAAAGGCTAAATTAAAAGGAAAATGTAGAAAGACTTTTTGCTATGGACGAAATTTTTATTTACTTCCTTAGGTTTAGGATTACTACCCTGGGTGGTTATTGCAGAAATTAGATTAATAAAATTAAAAGATAGAAAAAATATGGGCAGGTTTAGGATGGTTTGGCCCAAATCATTACTTTGAGGACAACATTGAACTCTTTAACATAAGTGACAATATTCGCAAACTATTCCCTAATGCTTTTTTACGTCCCTCCTGCCCTCCAAGCTCGACTCCCTACATCCTGTTGGATCGGCCTGGATATTAACAAAGATAGGACAACTTAAAAGTGACTTCGGAAAAGACGATGTATTCTTTCTCATATGTGATTAATAAAATCTTAAACACGTAAATAGAATTTTATTTTGTAAATTCGATTGAGTTAACACATATATTGTAATTCAATGTATAAACTTTATGATAAAAAAAAAAATAAATATAAAAAAACATTTAAATCTTTAAATATGTTCAATAAGACCCAATTCTCAGATAAAATAATTGGGATCTCCTCTATGAAAGAGACTGTTAAATTTGATTTCTTCGCAAAATATCTACGTATTAGGAATTCTTAAATTTATTTCATCTATATATATATCTTTGATTAAACCAAAAAGTTTTTTTTTTTATATTGTTTAGATAGTTTTTTATATTTTAGTCATAGTTTGGTTTTACTGAAAGAACTTCTGAACTGCTACTGTATTATTATTATTTCGTGGTACAGCGTATACTGTATTTAACATTTTGTAATTAGCATAGTCGAAAGTGATGCACTTACCTTAATACCATTTTCGAAATGATTTTGGCAGAATTCAGTGCCTTTATCACTACGAAAAGCTTTATTATGGTGGAGGGATCCAAAATTTAGCACAGTAAGTTAATTAACAAATGGATAGATAGCAAAAATAACGAGAACTTAGCAATATGGAGTAGCGGGGAAGGAACTGCCAATATATGGGTTAGGGCTCGGCAGGCTGAACAAGCAGGCACGTTCTTTCATGCTTTTCCTCCCTTGAAACCCTGCTTCTCTATTATTTTTTACTTAGCCGAGCGTTTGACTTTTTTTCTCAATATAATTGTATTATTACTTTATGAAAAAATATAATAAAGACCTTATTTTGAATTTTTTTTTAAACGTGTAGTGTGGAATACGTGAAATATTAAGCATAGAATCGAAAAATAACGCAAAAAAAAATTGGTAAAGCAGATTTATGTATACAACACTTGCTTCGAAAAAAAGAAACATCTTATCAAAAAATTGTTTATTTTATTTGAAATTTCACAACTATAATTAGAGAACAGAATAAGTTATATAACACTTCATACAGTATTTTATTGTGATTCTAACTGCAATCATAATGATAATAATATTTACAAGTATCACACCTTACAAGATTCCTAGATCCAGTCCGACTATATAAATCATCTCGCTGTTTATGCCCAAGTTTTCTACATCTTTCCACCTCTGCAGGAGTTTTACTCCATCCATTTAGCCAATCAAAATATTTATAACCCATTGCTTTGACTTCTTCTTCTGCTTTATCTCCCTTTGCCCAAATGAGCTCACTATCCAGAAGTCTTCTATCATATGCGCTTAGTGCTGTTGATGGCACTTTATTGAGATTAAAGGATTCAAGATCAAGGTCTGACCTGAACGCCTTACATCTATAACACTTGACACGCCATACAAAATTTGGATTGTAACCGCATTTATTACACTTCCATTGACTTATTGAGTTAGAACTGTTCGCTTCACCGTGCATGTGTTGAGGATGTGTTTTTACTTGCTTCCCCCTAGATTCGTTAACGAAGCCTTTAGTAGATAACTTGGAACCCTGGCGCATCTTGTTTGTATTCACAGAAGAATAAATCGCCTTAGCTGTTTCGAAGCCGAAGGTTTCCCAATTTTTGTCGAACTGGATTAAATCTTTCCAGTCATCTTTATCAAAACTTTCATGGTTGCGAATGACATGAGAGAATAGAACGCGGAAACTGCCCTCATCGAAATTTATTTCAAGTTGTTGTAAGAGTCGTTGAATCTTGGCGACTTGTGCCATAATTTTGTGTGAGAAGGGTAAATGGAGTTAAAGAGTGATTGGTTAGATAAAGTTTTTTGTAATTATGACGATATCATGATAACGTAAGCTGAAATTTTTTGTCTGACATTTTGGTCGTATTCTATCCCACAGCCTCTTGGTTAAAAAAACAAAAAAAATAATCTAGGCACAGCCCCAGTTCTTGTAACAATTTTTGTAAACATTTATAATCGGAACTCAAATAAAATTTGAACCAACGATCAAATTTCTTTATATTGAAATCTAAATTCCACTCAGTATATATTACAGAAAAAATGTTAGATAATCTAGACACGAGTAAAAATAACTTGCCAATACACCTATTGTCTCTAAACCGTGAATTGTGGCTGAACGCTTATATACATGATTATCTTAGTACCAATGGGATTATACGTAATGTCAATTGTTCCATAATACCTAAATATAGTAAAAGCAACCGAAATGATTCAAACAATATCTGCCAAACTGTCATTCCATGGCTTTACCGACTGGATGGATCAATTGTGAGAAATGCTATGAATTGATATTATGAATTAGCTATATCACAAACTAAGGGTGCGGATTAAATAAATATAAATAAAATATAAGTTTTGCACATCTGAATTCAGTTGTTTCACAAACCTCCTCACTCTTCCATTCCGCCTCAGCACAGCATGCATCTTAATAATTTCATTGCTGAGAGTTAGAATGGCTTTTCCCAATTCTTTTATAATTTGGTTATCCGGAGCTGGAATTGGTATTGGAGATACATTTTTTCGCGTAAATGCAAATATAAATGCGAGAACAATATATCCCCTGAGATAAACCCCATTGTCAAGATTACCTCAATTATATAATTTACGGATCGCAATTACAGCAATGAAGAATGCCAACAAAAAAATATCGGACATTTCGTTCTGGAATAATTGTTTGATTTATTATTATGTAGCACGTGGAAAAAATTGATATATTGTACGTTCGATTTTATTTTGATTACTTGACTGATTATATATTGTGCAATCGATTTTTTGATCGCTTTGATAATGATTTTATTTTCTTACCCGAAACTCCAGCAATCTCGATCTGTTTATACACCAAGTGTTAATTTCTGCGATTGGTTTCTTCACATCTCGTACTAAATCAAAGGCAATAGATTAAAAGCGATCGTAATATAACGATTGTACGATTATTAATTTTACATTTATAGAATCGGCGACCCATGGTATTGGTTCTTTTCATTAAAAAGATGATTTACGAAGACCAAAATTGCTACTTATCTTTTTCTGGAAATTCATATATCACGGGCAATTACACCAATAAAAAAATTTTTCGAGATCGCGAAATGAATCTACTGTTTCGTTTTTACGATAAATGTAACTGACATTTCGGTAACAAAATGTTCAATATTTGCACTTGTAATTACGAATTTAATGGTTAGTATACAATTTTATATATTTTATACTTATCTTGTACTATGTGGTTCAATAAATTGACCTCCTTACGATTTCAATAGCTGCCGCAAATTACCAACTGATATATGCTGTCTTTATCTATTAATATCTAAGACATTACATTTTTATTATTATAAAATATGACTAAAAATTTTTTCTATTTTTATTTATAGGTCTTCAATTTATTAAATAAAGTTCATCAAAAACAGTGAAATAATAATAATAATGATATAAATAATATAATAATCTTTTTTTTTGTTATGTAAGTGAGGTGCTTCTCACAGTTTTAAATAATATAATAATAATATAATATAATAATAAATATAATAAATAAAAAATGGTAAAAATGTTTTTCTATAAATACACGCTAACGCTGGGGTGCATTTATAAAGGGTTCACTGTAAATTGATTTTGAACAGACAAAATATTTCAATATGGTCGTCATTCTACAAAGATTTCGAGACTATTCCATGATACTGTATCTTCATGTTCGAATGTTGTGTATCCATCATCGTCAGCGATTTTCCAATCACTACTAACATCTTCTGAAGGAGATCCTAGTTTCTTTATTGTCCCTTTGTATTTCCATCTAGTGTTGACGAATCCACAGGTGATAGGTTGAACGTAACCATCACAGACTGGGCATTTACAATTATGTTCATCCTTAATAAAATTAAAATTGCGGTAACCCCACCTGATTCTGACTCGTCCTTGTCCGTGAGCTTCACAAATTTCATTTTTACAATATCCTTTATGCCCATAAAAAATGAGAGAGAAAAATGAGAGCTCATTCCATCTCAATTTAATTTTGTAACATCAAATTTACCTTCAAAATTGAGACCATGCGTTGCATACTTCCAATGAGAACCACTACTTCTTTTAGACCACGGTAATTTCTTCATAGGTTTGCTCAAATCCTGAAATTTGAAAAACCCCATAGATAATCCACCACGTAGGCGAAATACATGGTGAAGGGTTGATTCCTTTTGAATATTATATTCAGAGAGTGTACGTCCATCTTCTAACGACTTACCACAAAATATTAAACGATTCTCATTTATTGCGACGTCTTTATCGAAAGGTATTTTTGATAATTGATACAATTGATAAATAAACAAATGTTTTACTAATTCAATAGTAAAAGAGCGTTCCACTTCGAGGGTTAAAGTTCTACCAGCGTAATCTTTAATGAAAATTTGCATTTTGAATTTGAATTTGAATTTTGACAGAAAAATAATATCTTGTTTATATAAGGTTTTCATAAAATTTTTCATATGACTAAAGGTATCCATATGCATGTTTTTGTGTGACACATTCGGTATTTTTAATTCATTTTCCGATCGCGAATTTCAACTCCGATATCTCTCGCAATATTTCAGACGTAATGTTAGTTCGAGTTGGATCAAATAGTTTTGAGCGGTATTTAGGTGATATAGATATTATTCGTGAAATAACAAAGTAGTTGATTATTCCACGTCAGAAACGTAAGTGCGGTATTTTTGCAGTTCTGAAAATTTATTCTACGATTTAATTATTTTCTTGCTTCGATTATGTATAAGTATTACACGTTGATGCTTTCTATATGAGTACATATTAACTTTAATATTTCCTTTTTTAAATTTGGACAGCATGTAAATGTATGAGTAAGCTAATACAGTAATATAATAAAAAAGTGATCGAAGTTATTAATCTAACAAAAATTTTGTAATCTTTTAACAATATTAACAAGAGACAGAATAATTTGACAACTTATTCCAATTCCTGTACAATTTACATTTCTAAGAATGGTAATTGTCTTAAAAAAATGGTGAATATATTGAGAGAATTATATCTAAATACAAACCTATAGCATGGATAAATATACTTAAAAGAGATAATACAAAGGTTTTATTTGGTGAAGTAATGGTGCATTGTTCTGCAAAGTTTAATTTTAGAATGGTATAAGTTAGGGGTGTTCCAGAAATCAGCTATCAATTTATATAGAAATGTTAGAAAAAAATTTAATTCCATTTATAAATATTTTAGAAAATAGTGATAATTATATTTTTCAAGAAGATAATGCCCCAATTCATATTGCAAAAATAGCAAAAAAATGGAAGGAAAATAATAATATTACAAGTCTTCTATGGCCTGCACAAAGTCCAGATTTAAATCACATAGAAAATTTATAAAATGAATTAGATAAAAAGTCAGGTCATATAAACTATTACCTAAAAATAAAGATGATTTATGGCAAATTTTATAGAAGAATAGGTTAAACTTGAAAAAGATAAATATAATAATCTTATTAATAATATATCAAATCATATTGTTGCTGTTATTGAAAATAAAGATTATCCCACAAAATATTAATAAATAAATTAATCTATCAAATTAAATTAAAAAATTTGAGATAATTATTAAGGCTATTATATATAAAAGTTTTTTATTTACTAAAATATAAACAAATATAATACTAAGTAATATTAAAGCTAAGAGTATTTTGCATCTCGTGTAAAGAATTCAGTTTTTTTATAAAAGGTGAATGAATAATAAGTGATTAAATTCCAGTGTAATTTATAAACGTCAATATTCAGTCATTGATATTAAATTTAATTCACAAGAAAAAGTTCTAAAAACTTCATAAACAATTTTTCATATTTTTAGCTATAATATTAATTAGTAATACATTTACTATTTTATTAATATATTATGAAATTTTGTATGTAGCAACTTTTGATAGTTAATTTCAGATTTTTTAATTAATATCACTGTCAATTACTTTGTCATTAATATTTTTTAAAAAATAATTTATTATACATTGTTACATATAAAAGTTCATAATTTATCAATAAAATATCAAATGTAATACTAATAATCCTTATAGCTAAGAACATGGAAGCTTTTAGAATTTATTCTTGCAAATTGAATTTAATATCAATAGTTGAACATCAAATGTTTAAAAATTATTTTCAGGAATTTAATCATTCATTATTCATTCAATTTTAATTAAATATTTCTAAATACTTCATAAACAATGTTATATATTCTTGGCTATAATGTTACTTAGTATTAATTTTATCACTATTTTTTTTTTTTAATTATTAGAGTCTTATTAGACACTTTATTAAATAAAACAATATTGAATTTACATGTTGTGTTCTAACTACCTACTTTAAACTAAATTATTACTAATTTATTCTAAATGGCGAGTTGACCTATGGTCAAAACTCCATCAGTTAATATAGTTATAATAATATTTGTAAAAAAGAATATTTCTGTGTATAGTCACTAGTCAAATTGTGGAAAATCAGCACCTATCGTACACCTATCAGATACCCGATAGGTATGCGATAGGTGCCTGATTTTCAATAAATTTTAATATATCGAGCTCCCGATAGGTAGAGTGAGTGTGTCAAAGTTCAGGCACATATCTTCAATATATCGATATAGTATATCGGGTATATATTGGTCACTGTATATTCCTCAATATCAGGAGCTTTTTTCTTACTATCGAATACCTATTGGTAACTTTTATTTATATATTTTCATTTTCTTATTACCAATAATTACATTTTTGTTTATTATTATAAAATATAAAAGAAATATATTATTTATTAATAAAAAATATAAAATAAAAAATGTTATACATATTATATATTATTAATTATATTATTTATACTATATAAAATGTTTTTAATATTTATATTTAATTCTATCTAATTATTTTTTTTTATTTCTTTTTTTAGATTTTTTATTTTTTCTTTCTTTTACTTTTTCTTTTTCTTTTCTTTTTTTTTTCTTTTTCTATTATTAGTTCCTGTTTCATCATTATTATTATTATTGTCATCATTATCATCATTATTGTTATCATTATCTTGATCTAAGGTATTGGGATCATAAATTGAAATGGTCTTCTTATCTCACTTTATTATTTTCAATGCTTTTTTATTTAGAGTTCAAATAAGTATATCTTTTGAAACTTTTGTTTTATTTTTGTTTAACATATATTGTGGAGATCTAATTTAAAACTTGAAATTTTTTGACAGTTTATACAAAAGATCAATTGTTAAATTGATTTTTTTGTACAATAGCTTCTTTAACTATAAAATATCATTTGACATTATTTATTAATATTATATTCGATAGATGTAAAAATATATTATAATTATTAATTTTACTGAATTAAATTTCTATCATTTGTCCTTAATATAAATAGAAATTATAAATATTCAAGTACTTTTGCTTCTACTTGTTGTAATAGCAGCTGTGGTACTACTTTTACTTGCTATAGTAGCAACTGTAATATTACTTCTACTTCTAATATTATTACTACTGTTATCATTATTATTATTATTATTATTGTTATTATAATTATTATTACTACTATTATTATTATTATTATTATTATCATTGTTATTATAATTATTATCATTATTATTATTATTATTATCATTCTCATCATCATTATTATTATTACAATTATCATTATTATTGTTATTATCGTAATTATTATTATAATTGTTATTATTATAATTATTATTATGATTATTATAACTGCTATAATTATTATTATTGTCATTATTGATATCCATAATATCTTGTTTTATAAATTTAATAAGTTAATTTAATTATAAACAAAGTATAATAAATATAATTTGTAAATATAGTACCTTTATATACTTCATTATCTGTCATCTTTCACTTTTCTAAGTGGTAACTGCTATCATCTAATATTTTTAATATATTCTTTTTAGAATACATATTTGATTTTTTGTCACCTCCTTTTAATAAGTATACTGTTACTTTCTTCTTCCTTTCCTTCTTCTATTTAAAATAAATTATATTAATAATATACCTGATAACTGTATTATTATATTTATTATAAAAAAAATCTTACCTTTTCTATTTTAGTATTCTTCTTTATTCTTCTTTTATTTATTTTTTCATTTCCAGTTACTTTCACTCTTCATTACTAGTGCATTATGTGATATCACATATAGAGCATTTTTTTAATCTCATAATCAAATATAGTATACTTACTATTTAATATTTTACTTAATTTAGACAAGAGTTTTTCAATTAAATAATTATATTTTTCTCATTTAAATTCTAGTTTAAATGAATATTTATTTTTATATCTAGATTTATATAACAAAAATAATTCTTTTTATAATTATACAAATTTATATTAATTATTCTATTCAATATATATATAATATAAATATTTGATATCCGATATATGTATAATATAAAAAATCAAAAAAAAATAAATAAATTTACTTTGATTCTCTTTTTAAATTCAGAATTTAGATATTTTATCTTTTTTATTTTTTTTTCCTTTATTGAATAATGAAGAAAATTAATTATTATCATTATTATCAGAAGAAGATAATGATAATGATAATAATAAAGTAATAGTAAAGGAAGAAAAAGAAAAAGAGAAGGAAAAAAATGAAAATTTTTTTTTTGTTTTTGTATTTATTTTTATTATTTTTCTTATTTTTACTAAATATTTTAGTAAAAATTCTTTCTATTTGTTATATATTAGTTATAATTATAATTATTATATTATAAACAGATAATTAATTAATTAATTAATTATTAATTTATCTTTTTTCGATATTCTATTTCAAGTTTTCTTTTTTAATGTCTTAATTGAATAAAAAATATTTTTTAATTTAGATTTTGTCATTTTGTAAAAAAAAATTATTTTATATTTTATTTTTACTAATTATCTAATTATTCTAATGTATTTAAATAAAATAATTTTTCTTAAGAAAGAAAGAAAGAGAAAAAGTAATTCTTTATATATTACATTTTCAAATAGTTAAATCAATAATTACATTATAAAAAGGTAAAGTCATTAATTATTATATCATATTTTTTGATATTAATATAATGATATAATGATATTATATTAATAAATCTTTGTTTTAATTATTATATTAACATATTTTGATATCAAAAAATATAATATCAGATATATTACATAATATTATTTAAGATAATTAAAGTACTTACATAATATTTTTGAAAATTTATTTAAAACATGTTATTTTTATATATAGTTAAAATGTATATAATATATGTTTATAAATATGCTTAAAAATAAAGTATTTTAATTTTTTAATACTTTAAAAATCTTTAAATTCAAGGAAAAAAGTAAGGTTGAAAAAAGGAAAAATCAGTTACTTATATCTAAAAACGTAAAATTAAAATA